AGGTAGGTTTTTTTTTCTAAGTTCCTTTGGTGCAAAATTATAAATTTTTACATCAACAATAATGAAAAAAATATATCTTTAAACGTATAAGAGAAAATTTTAGAAAGGACTTAATTTTAAATGAGTTCTTGCTAATTGACCAGTTTTACATATTCGGCACGACATATATATATATATATATATATATTTATATACATTGATACTATTATCCCTATATAAGTACCGAAATATTTGGTACATTAATATTGATGTATACTTTAATCTCTAAAATAAGAAATACAATGAACTTTAAGTGTGTGTGTGTGTGTGTGTGTGTGTGTGTGTGTGTGTGTGTGTGTGTGTGTGTGTGTGTGTGTGTGTGTGTGTGTGTGTGTACATATTTATTGAGAGAAACATTCATCGGCGTACAAAATCTGAAAAAAAAGTATCAGTAACATTCCCTTCAGAATGCATAAAGTCAGGTTTTTTATTAAAATCTCGCCCTCTCGACTAGTGAACTAACAGTTAAGGTTATGGCAGTCGAGACCCCAATGTTGTGCTAATTGGTTGTTCATTAGCTAGTTACGCGAAAGTTCGCCCGTGGTATGGTTTGTTTGCAATCGTGCCATTACGATTTCGTGAGTCTTGGTGGGCTTTCACTACCTCTGGTCGAAGACGCTGTTCTTACAGTGGCTCTTGCTTATATATACCATGTAGTACAAGAATGGTATACAATACCAACAAGATGGAATTAAGACACATGTGCAACATCTGGGTATCTTTATTGTAGACGTTTCGCCATCCAGTGGATTTACATAACCTTCACGACTACGACAACTACTGCCACTAACCCATTTTTTTTGGTAGGACCTACTTCCACTGGGGAATCCCGCCTACCAGTGACTATGCCCTCGTCTGCAACACGTCCCATTTCCACCTGACGTTACTATATAAGCGTCAGGCACCTTGCTTCTGCTTCAGAATCTCCACGACTATGGTGCTCTTCACACCTACTCCAAGGTTGAGGGACTGATTACCTCATCTTCTGTACATAGTTCTACTGTCTTCAAGTTATGTCCTGGAATTTGTATTGATAAAGCCACTGGATGGCGAAACGTCTACAATAAACATACCCAGATGTTGCACATGTGTCTTAATTTCATCTTGTATATACCATCTTGTAAATAATATCTGTACGTAGTGTACATTGCATACGTTTTGGTGGAGGAATACACTGGTTAAGGATTTACTGTTTTTCTGTTTTGTTTTTAATCTGCGCTACGCAGTTGAGAGTTGGTCTATTTGCAAACAGGTTCAACAGCCCCATTAGATATCACCCGCGTTCGTAATATCCCATTATGTGACTGTCATACAGAGTTGGATACCGACACACTGCTGGTGTTTCATGTGACTGTCATACAAAGCAGGGTACCAATACTCTGCTGGTGTACCTCTGATAATAAACAAGGATGCTTATCCCGGGTATCCTTGGTATCAATATTATCATGTGTGGTATGAATGGTATCATGTATACATGTATTTAAGTAATGTGTGCATTTGTACTACGGGACATGGAATTAACGTCGTTTTAAAGAATAAAACGGGCACAATACCGTGACTGGAGCAATATACAAATAATCCGCACAAAGGAAAGACTTATAACGACGTTTCGGTTAGACTTGGACCATTAACTAGTCACACACTAACACACAAAGGTAAGGAAGCAAAACAAATATACAACAGGAATAAAAAGCGAACTACCAAAAACTCAGTCAACAAATCAACTATAGTTACTATTACTAAGAATGTGCGCGGACTGAATATCTAGTGCGCGGCACGGGACTGGACGTCCCAAGGCCACAACGTCTACCTTAGATTATACCAGCGAGTTAAAAAACACTGATATAAACTAGGTTGGCATGTAAGCTCACGATGATGGCTTGTTAGCTCACTAGCCACCCACCATGTTGGCTTGTTAGCTCACTAGCCACCCACCATGTTGGCTTGTTAGCTCACTAGCCACCCACCATGTTGGCTTGTTAGCTCACTAGCCACCCACCATGTTGGCTTGTTAGCTCACTAGCCACCCACCATGTTGGCTTGTAAACTCACTAGCCACCCACCATGTTGGCTTGTTAGCTCACTAGCCACCCACCATGTTGGCTTGTTAGCTCACTAGCCACCCACCGTGTTGGCTTGTTAGCTCACTAGCCACCCACCATGTTGGCTTGTTAGCTCACTAGCCACCCAACATGTAGACTTGTTAGCTCACTAGCCACCCACCATGTTGGCTTGTTAGCTCACTAGCCACCCACCGTGTTGGCTTGTTAGCTCACTAGCCACCCACCATGTTGGCTTGTTAACTCACTAGCCACCCACCGTGTTGGCTTGTTAGCTCACTAGCCACCCACCATGTTGGCTTGTTAGCTCACTAGCCACCCACCATGTTGGCTTGTTAGCTCACTAGCCACCCACCGTGTTGGCTTGTTAGCTCACTAGCCACCCACCGCGTTGGCTTGTTAGCTCACTATCCACCCACCATGTTGGCTTGTTAGCTCACTAGCCACCCACCATGTTGGCTTGTTAGCTCACTAGCCACCCACCATGTTGGCTTGTTAGCTCACTAGCCACCCACCATGTTGGCTTGTTAGCTCACTAGCCACCCACCATGTTGGCTTGTTAGCTCACTAGCAACCCATCATGTTGGCTTGTTAGCTCACTAGCCACCCACCATGTTGGCTTGTTAGCTCACTAGCCACCCACCGTGTTGGCTTGTTAGCTCACTAGCCACCCACCATGTTGGCTTGTTAGCTCACTAGCCACCCACCGTGTTGGCTTGTTAGCTCACTAGCCACCCACCATGTTGGCTTGTTAGCTCACTAGCCACCCACCGTGTTGGCTTGTTAGCTCACTAGCCACCCACCATGTTGGCTTGTTAGCTCACTAGCCACCCACCGTGTTGGCTTGTTAGCTCACTAGCCACCCACCATGTTGGCTTGTTAGCTCACTAGCCACCCACCGTGTTGGCTTGTTAGCTCACTAGCCACCCACCATGTTGGCTTGTTAGCTCACTAGCCACCCACCGTGTTGGCTTGTTAGCTCACTAGCCACCCACCATGTTGGCTTGTTAGCTCACTAGCCACCCACCGTGTTGGCTTGTTAGCTCACTAGCCACCCACCATGTTGGCTTGTTAGCTCACTAGCCACCCACCATGTTGGCTCGCTAGGTACTATGTGCAATCACTGAGAAATACCCTCTCCAAAAAATCTTGCAAAAGACTTGCTGCATTTGTTCTCAACTTGAAAATTAAAATAGTTCATCTTCCATGCAGTGTGTGTGTGTGTGTGTGTGTGTGTGTGTGTGTGTGTGTGTGTGTGTGTGTGTGTGTGTGTGTGTGTGTGTGTGTGTGTCAGATTAAAAGTGTTTAAACAGCTGCTCTTAATCCGTGAATGACGCTATATGTCTGTTTCGGGTTTTTGTCTTAAGAACCGTTCAGTGTTGTGGCACTAAAGTTGGTGCGTTGCAAGACGGTGTAAGAACATGTGAAGGTGGAGTAGCGGATGGTATATTGATAAGAAAAGCAGCAGTGATCATTGTCTTACATATTTTTTAGTGGGTTTGGGTTTGACAAGAACTTGTGTACGAATGGTATATAATACCGACAAGATGAGAGTAAGACACATGTGCAACATCTGGGTATCTTTATTGTAGACGTTTCGCCATCCAGTGGCTTTATCAATACAAATTCTAGGACATAACTTGAAGACAGTAGAACTATGTACAGAAGATGAGGTAATCAGTCCCTCAACCTAGGAGTAGGTGCGAACAGCACCATAGTCGTGGAGATTCTGAAGCA